CGAGGTATGGAGGACCTGGGGAATTCCTCTACGCGAGGAGCCACACTAACGAGGAATCCGACCAAAGTCTCCCTGGCTCCCCCCCGCCACTGTCCATTCCATCCTCTTGTGTAACATCGAGTAGCCGCCGCCTTTTTGCCGATATGAAATCCCGATTCCTCGAAGCATCGGACCACGAAGCATCGCCGTCCCGTAGAATACATTAGCGATTCCTAGCGGGCGACGCGCCGTAATGAATGTTTCCGGTGACAGGACGACAGCGGGGAATGCCTTGCGACAAACAATGCGGCTCTCTGTGTATCGGAACCGCCGTCCCGCCTCCCACCTCTGTGTCGGATAAATGCCGCGATGCCGCCGAAAGCTCTCGTCGCCACCCGAAATTCACCCGAAATTCACCCGAAATTCACTGTCGACGCGAACCTTCGCCATTTCGGCTCATCCACTTCGTTCTGCCCCGTTCTCCGTTGGGACATACCCTGTGTATACCTTTGTAGACACATATACATATATTGCACCGAGTAACACACGATCCCAAGATCACAGGGTGATGTCCCCGAGAAATTCAAGGCTAAATGTTGACAGTGTAAAAAAAAAATTATCAGAAAAAAGTTTTACTACCGGGTGACGATTTTATTAAAAATTATTTTCCAACATGATTTTTAGGACCGATAGAAACGTTCGCCACTGTGCGAAAACACTCGTCTCCTATTTTAACGGGCAGCTCACTGCGAATTCACGTGGCTTGAATTTCCCGTAGAATCGAATGCGAGCATTGCAATCTCCAAGGCTCATACCAGCATTAACGTCGGAAAGATTCAGGATGGTCACGATGGAAAGGCACGTGCCAGGTTACAGGGTAGATTTGATCCTCTACGGTAGCAGCGCTGCACGCTTCGGTATATATGGACATGCACGAGCTCCAAAATGATCCAATGTTAGCAATGCGGTATGCGCCCATACGAGATACGTACTCAGCTATACTTGCGGTCCGTCAGTATGCGTTAACGTTCAAACTACCCGATTCGATGTCGGAATGCCGGACCACTTGCGTAGCCATTCGACTGAGTCCATTTCCATTGTTGGCAGCCAGTGGCCGCTGGTGGCTTCGCGAATTCCAGAGCTTTGGTCGATTCGGCAGAACCGCGGTACCCTTACTCCTCCACTCTGACGCAGCTACAATCTGTTCGACGTAACTGCTGCGGTCGCCTTGCATCGTTTGCATTATTTCACGTGGACCCATTCGATGGAATAGCGAGCATCCGACCTTATATGCCATTCGTATACCTATACCTACTCCTACCCGTATACCGATGATCCGATACCGTTAGGCAAGGTTAAATAGAGCGTACACCGGTCCAGATCGACAAGACGTAGAAGAATAGTAGTCGACCGGTAAATAAATAATAAAAAAAAAAAAAAATTGAACATACCCGTCGGTCTGTATAATTATTAAAATCGCCTCGGGTCCGGATTGCCATTTACGATAGTCATCGGTGACTTCCGGTTTTAAAAAATTAATTATTTCATTCATAAAAATTTACACCTGACTAACATTAACTTTTTGTACGACCATTACGGGGTTATACGAATTTTTAAATTATGACCTAACGTACACTCATATGTACACACGTGATACCATAGGTAACATAACTCGAAAGGGCCATCGCGCGTAATCTTACGGTAAGCACGCATGTTAACAAGCCTCCATTCAATGATAAACTTCCAGCGTGCGTTTCGTTGGGCAATAACCGTCATTTAATTCTCGTATAGCCCCGGGCTGCACCACATGTATTATACGACCGCGTGCATGCTGCCACGCTGAGGCCAGAGGCCGCCGGGCGCATTGCTTCGCCCGTGTAGTACGAGCATGTTGCCAGAGACTCGGTATAAGAGTTGTTGATCGGAGCCGAGGTTATCTCTTGTCTCTGTGTGGCGGTCAGATCAAAGGAGACCGACAACGTCCAGCAGCGAGGCTATAGATCAGCTGGAGGACTTGAGTAAATAAGCAACGCCCTGAGAGGATCCAGCCTCCTAAATATCATACGTGGGACATGTGCCACAAAAACCAATTGAACCCATAGAAGTCCTTCGGGTGCTATAAGAACGAAACGATTCAATCGAGACTATTGGAAATCCTTTGGAAAATCAGCTCGATCGTTAAGAAGATTGGTTATCAAAAATTATGAATGGGACTCACGAACACGTGGTCACGTGATACTGTCAATTTATTAATTTCTTCTTTATCTGTTGATTAGCTCGCGTAATTGTTATCTTATATATCATATTAATTTGATATATTTTTTTTCATAATAATCTCGTACCAACATCGTTTCATGCTGTTTGACAATGTGAAGTGTCCTTTACGTTATCACGTATCACGGGTATTTGATTTCTCACCTGTCAATCGTTTACGTATGCAATTATTGTTATCGCTCGGTCATCTAGATCCAACAACCTCTCGAAGCCAGGACCTGATATTTTCTACGGAGAATATCGGTGAGGATATTTTTTTATTTTTCCTACGTCATAAACTTTCAAAGGTTATCCGATCCTTTTAATAGAAAGTTTTCATAGGCGGACGTATGTATTATTTATATTAGCAAATACTACCTGAATTACGATATTGTATACTTTCTATCTTATCACGTGGCTATACGGAGCTGTCAGTGCATGGCTATTGGGTTTGGCTTAAAGTATAGAACTTCTTGTGGCTTGAGGTTAAGTTACTGGCTGGCTGCGTTACTAAGTAACTTAACGGTCTGTATATATATGTACATTGTCGGTAAGAGCCAGAAGTCACAAGCGATAAACAGTTGCTTATATGGTTTCTGGAATGGTTTATCGCGTAAACAGTTAAACTCGTGCATATACCTGCCGTCATGAAAACCACTGATAACCATACGGCGACATGGAGTTATCAAGCTTGTAATACATTCGACAACTTGATCCTGAAATATATCGAGGCTAAAAGTCGTGTTAAATATACAGTAACATATGCAGTAGGATTTTTTGGACAGTGTGGGTTTACGTATTAAAATTTCCTTTTTTTTTATATGTCAAAATTAAATAAGCACGTACAGGGAGTGCAATAGGTTTTGCGATGAAAATGCAGGGATTGTATATAAATAGAAATTATTATACGAGTCGAATATCTTTTTATGTGGGTATCGTATGCCTGTGGCGTGTATCGCAGTATCGTAATATATTAACGGATTTATGTGGAAAGTTCGTTTGTATATATACTTGCCGGAGTACGAATGTAATTTATTCTTGATTAGCATTAATCCGTTTGGCATTAATTTTGTACAATGCTTTTATTAGCTCGTTCCTATCGTAGTAACTTACGGTTACGATTATTAATGTCGACAGATTTATCAGGGATTAGGCCGGAAGCATTAAATGCAAAATAAAGGCTACATAAATTCAATTAGGAACATCGAACCGAAGATTAGAGCAACACTATTTTCGGCTTGGCCGGCGAGACTCGAGCGGTCATGTTATGCGCTTACAGACACCTACGGGAAATTCCTTTGAGACAGGAGTTCGGTTAGGATTTACTTAAACTTTTGAAAATACGAACCAGTGGCCTATTATTATTATATACTTAGTATGTTATTATATATATGGATAGTATGATATTATGTTCATTGGTCGAGACCTGGAATTGAATTTGATTATATATGTATGTATATATATATATATGGTTTCAATGAAACGTAGAACTAGAAACCTACCGTAAGCAGTGAGCTGAACTATTGCGAAACAACAATAACTAAAAACACGTTAATCATATCACTATCATTGATAAATGAAGTAACGCGTGATTGATGTAAAACGTCATACTCGTTCTACATACGGCTGACTGAGTTGATCGTATTTACATCCATTAATCCTACAAAGTCATACGCTGAAAGCTTATTTGAGAACGAAATATTAGAACGGGATTGACGTGACAGCTCGTAAACGTCATATTGACGTGTGAAATATTTTTTTAGACACTAGGGAGATCGTCAGTGGCGATAGTCTTTGTAAGAGGATCCTACAAAGGGTGGAATGGCATTGGGGTGGAGAAAAAGTAGTATTTTTTGAAAGATCTCGAGACCGGGTAGGTAAGGTAGATTTTAGTGAATTAATTTACTCGTATTACAAGACCTCTTCAGCCTGTAAGATTCCTTTATCTGATATCAGCACTGTCAGATGGTTACGCATCGAGGTAATTGCTTGATAGGATCTGAAAGATGTCCGGGGTTTAAGCGCACGAGGAAATCTAATCGTGGTCCGAGGTTTTCAAAAAGCGACGAACGTACCGCGTGCGGCGCTTGAGACGAAAAACATTAACCGGGCTTATCCGTTTAAACAAAATGTCAAAGTGCCAGATGATAATGCGCGAGAAATAAATCAAGCGCGTTGAAAAGATGACGGAGATAAATGTAAACACGTCCGCCAGGCAGCCCGGAGATAGTTACCGAGATACACGCCAGGTCATGACTGATGGCGATGTCATGAGATGTGGTATCATAATAATTCATAAAGTCCAAGCCTGGCTTAATCGTTGATTAATGAAAGAACAGACTTGTTTCAATTCCCGTCTTCCATCGCCCTCCTCTTTTTTCTTCTTTCTTTTCCTTCCTTCGTCTCCCATCGCGCCATTCCTGCCACGAGAACCGGAGATCCGACATGTGTTCGTTTGGGCGATAGTCCCAATTAATGTTGCGGCGTCCGCATCGGCCTGTCGAGTCCATAATTCACCAAGTGGGGAGATTCCCCTTCTTCTGTTTCTTTAGTTACCTCCGATCCCCACCTCGCTAGTCATCAAGCCAAGAGAGCTGCTACCGACTCGACGCGGTTCCCGAAAACGTGCGACTTTACCGACCGAGCCGAGAACAGCCTGCACTAGCGCCATCTGGTGTCTCATTCTAACAACGTTTAATCGTGATGCTTTGGGCCAATTGACATTTACGTGGGATTTTGTCTTCGCGCTATACGCTTGCCTCTGGAATATTGAAGGACTAATACGTTAATTAATATATCAGTGCTTATCGGGATGTGAGGTACAGAGTTATAAAGTGCATAAAATGTGGCCGCCGTTTCAGTAGTGTCAGCTACTTACCGAGCAACACGCGGATGCCTCGTACGATCACTCGAGCAGTTTGTCAAGTTTCTTAGGTTACTGCCGAGATAAACAGCGGGATATTTGCCTATATTGGCAAAGAACGCACCACGACATTCGTCCTCGTCTCGCGTCGTTCTCTCTACGTGTCTCTCGATATGCGTAGGTACGCGAATGGAGCACTCTCGTTCCGTTAGTATAAGAGAAACGAGTAAAACGTAGGGCTGCGTGCCTGCTGGTAATCACGCGCCGGGATAAAGTTATTCCGGGGCATAAATAACCGACATGTCTGGAATAAGGCATTAATTTATGTTATTTATCGCCCATTACGCCGTAAAGAAACATTCACATGGGAAATAATGTATCATTCACCACACGCGTCCGCGAACTCAGAATCAGGAATGATTTGGAATGCCAACGATTGGATGGACAGAGGAAGAGACGGACAGACACATACGGAAGAATGGATGTAGCCAATACTTCTTGTTCGAGTGCAGGTGCGCCGACGTTATGTAACCAAACGCTGCCATTTGCAGTTTCTTCGTGGAAAGAATTTCCCGCAGGTTCGCATATGTACGTTGCAATTATTCAGGGTGCTCGTTGTTTCTAGTCACGCCATTGAGGACGCTAACGCGAAGGAGCTGCACAGAGAGGGGTTTTTCATGAAAAGGGAAAAACAAGGGAAAATTAAAAAGGGAAGGATAGAGAGTCGGACACATCGTTCATTTTACCTTCGCCTGGAAAGCAAAACAGAACCTATAAATTCTTCGGCCGTAAGTCGTTAGTACCTATCGATGTCTGCTTTATGGCGACTCGTTTATCGGCGTCTCGACGCCAAAGGTACCTAACCGCGCGCGAATTTATCGGGAATTCTTGTTTACTCCTGGCATATAGAGTTTAACGGTCTAACCCGTACTAAAGTAGCGTACCCTTCTTGCAGAATTGGTAGCGCTGCAGATTCAGGTGTCTCGATGCAACGATGGACGTACCTAACCTGTAAGTATTCATGTTTCTCACGTGGCCTGTTCTCTTACCCAGCAGTCTGGCACTTCTGAAAATTTACAAGCAGGGTTATAGAAAGCGAATGGCTGGCCCAATTTCTTTTGCAGAGTTACTTTCGTCTCCGCAGGGAAGCCAATATTTCAAGCGCTGACAAGTACAAACTTTGAGGTTGACGGGCAATGGATGCTGCTGACCACGGAGAAGGTAAATTTCTTCAATTGTGACGAACGTACTAAATCATCCATATCGAACTACCCATCTCTAACGTCCAATCTCTCAGTAATGAAAAATACTTTAGATAAAAACTACAGAATCTCTATACCCTGCTATCATTGGACCAGAACATCAAATACCTATACTCGATCAAGGATCTTTGTTCCAGGATGTTAACAGGTACATAATTTAAATAGAAAAATGAATAGCGTTCGCTTACATGAATGATTACACGAATGAACTTATCGCAAGTTACACTGAATATACGTATATATATATTTACCAGAAAAAAAAGAAAGTAAAAATGTTGAAGGAGAAAACAGGTAGAAAACTAGAAAGGCGGGCTTTCAACTTTTACGACTGGGACACCCTCGAGTGTTGAGGTGCCGGAAAAGAGAGCCAATTTATAAAGTGGTTTCTCGTAGCATTGTGAGGAAAACCGAACGTGCGAACCGGTCACAAAAGGGTCCCACGAACGAAGCCTGGATATTTAGAGTGTTTAGACAAGCTGTCACTCGATGACAATAGAAAAATAGAGGGTTTATGGTGGCAATAAATAGCAGCGATGGGGCACGGGACACCCTGTGTGTGCACATCTAGCCGTGTCCTATTTCCCCCATGGTGGCACTCAGGGGAGTCGACAGGTATCCAAACGAAGGTGGTACAGTTAATTTAATCAAGACTAAAACATCCCTAACTATTTAATCTACTCTCACGCCTTTACTGCCAGATAAATAACGCCCGTATAATGAATATTTTTTTTCTATCCCCAGGAAACACTACTCGATTTCATTGGACTTCATACAATGGACTGCCTGAGGGTTCCACTGTTCGCTTCCAAACTATCCAAAGGGCACCGGAAATGACTGTATATAAATATTCTTTTAAAATGTTTTTACATATTTGCCGGGACCAAGAATGCTTTCTCTCGCTTTATTCTCCTGGTACCTTATTGCGGTCTCTCGGTGCTTAGGTCCTGTTAGAACGCATCCACAAGCTTCACTTCGTTACCCAGCCGTTTTAACCGTTACGGACGAACTGGATTACCTTAAGCAGAAATGCGTCTACGCGTTTACCGGTGCAATTGAAATGCTCGCGCGGTCGAACCATGCGAAAAGCCATACCGGAAAGTTCAGTCATTCAGTTTTCCTGTACAACTGATTATACGTACAATGCTATTCGTTGTACAGGCATATCGCATGGCTATTTATATTTATGTTCTAGCGCACTGTAAATAAATACCTTTTGCCTATCCGATGCAGATTCGTATTTCAATGACAGTCAGACACCAGTTGAACAAAGTATTAATACGGTTAATATTTTAACAGCGTTATCTTTGACCGGAGCAATGCAATTACTGATTAGCAGCTATGGACGATTACGTACGTCGTAGGAACGATAACGGAGAGCTGACGCGATGGGAATACGAGGGTGATGGCCGAGTGAGTATGATGAATGAACGGTACCTGACAAGCGGCCATCGCTGCCTCATGATTGATGGTTGCTGTTTCCATCCCTAATTATTTTATACTTTGCAATCAGAACGATAATCCATCCGCACTAGCTGCAACCTGTCGCGGATAAATCACGGGTTATCCAGAATCACGATTACGTCTATGCACTTTACACCCACCTAAATGTATATACATACTCGCTTCATGAAATCCTGTCGCTTTATTTTATATTCTAACAAGTGAATCAATTGCCTCACGATTTCTGTCCTAATAACGGGCTCCCGTTTTTCTTAAAAATTTCTAAAAAATTATTCAACAATAAGCTTTTTCAATAGTTCTCGTAGAGTTCTATAGCTCCTGATGGGATTTAACAATAGTTCTGCTACGTAAGATCGTTAAAATACGTATTTTCCAAAAATTGACCTGGCACCACTATTCACGGATGTTGTCACGTTCCGCCAATTTGTTCGTGTTTGACTGTCGTTTGTTTTACCTTTTTAAATTTTAAGATTATCACATTACAAGCAGCTAAATCGTGAATCGTTAGTGTCTGTAGATTTAGAAAAAAAGAATGTATGATTAATTTTTAAATTTACTTTCTTTTTCGTATACATCTAAAATTAGGTAATATATAACCATGCGTGTGCGGGGCTACTTAATTTTACGAATACTTAAGTTATTAAATTTTTCATTGTTACTCTGACTTTGAATATTCTCAAGTTTGATTTTTGAGTCTTAATTAATGGTAAAGAATCGCGTTGAGCCATGATACGCTTTTATGTTTTGTTCTTGCAATGCTTTACGTAGTTGCTGTTTTCACGTAGTGTGCATCGACTAGGTATTCCAATGTAGCCACAAAGCATGGAACATTTAATTGTATTTATTTTATATAATTTTATTAGCTTTAACTCTGTAATCATTGTCGATGTCTTTTCTGGATGACAATGTAATGCTACAGGGACGTCAATTAATTGTCGTGGAGTTAATTTCACGAACTGTCACGCACTTTGTAATTTATGCCTCGTGTGACTTTACGGGACTTGCTGGCTATGATTTCTATTTACACTATCCCATAGGCTGCGATTAACGTTTTACAGCCACTATGACAGACAAATATATTCCTCTTCCGTGTATACAGCTGATACCACGACTGTATATGAATGTGTTTTCATGAAGAATTTCGAAATTCATTTATTTCTATGAATTACGACAAAATCAATTTTATCGATCGGCTGTTCGAATCGCGCCTATAAAATGGTGAATTATTTTATTCGAAAAACACAAACTACACGGTTAATAACAGCATTAAATTAATTTTTATAATACGATATATTTACGTCAATATCGTCGAAAATACAAAATTGATTTTATTCCCGATACAACGGACCGCTAAGATTCTTTACGAGACATCCAAGTTTCCTTGAATGATAAAAAAAATTCATAAAAATACCAAAACACAATTTAATCGTGTATCGTAGCAGTTATAGCCAATTTTCGTAATAATAAATATTCAAAGCCTGAAAGACTTTTCTATCGAATCCAAAAAAAAAACACAGCATCTTTCATCTGAAATTTTGTATCTGCCAACAGACACGTAAAATCGTCGTAGGTCTAATTCACCAAGGAAATAAGTACCACCCTGTAGGTAAGAAAAGGTAGAGTCGAAGAACTTTCTAAAACGATGGTGTTTAGTTAGCGTTAGTCCTAACCGATCGAAGGTACAGCCTCCCCGTGGTCCAGGGTCCATAAAGGCGGGACCGAAGTGAGTAGCGTCAGTCAGTCAAGCCAGCAATTTAAAAAATACTCCCAAAGTGCCGCCAAACAAACAATCGTGCCGCCGTGTCTAATTGCCGCAGATGATTCCCATCCGTCCCGCCGCCGCGACGCACCTAATAAATAGATAGCGTCGAACCCCTAAATAGCAGGACCACAAGACCGCACCATTATCTCCAGTCTCTAACGGTATAATGGGCCGTCTAATTTTCTTCACGGCGCCAGGATGCTGCGTCGAAGAATGATCCCATGGACCGTTGGTCGATCGGGATGAAAATCGATACCATGACCACCCCAAGACTTTGACACCGGAGAATTTCACCCGTACATTGCTCCCTGTGGTTACGATAAGGGTAGTTACCCCTAAGCTCGACAAATATTTATCCGCAATACAAACAAGCCCGAGAACGATACACCAATCGAGAGCAAATCTCTGACAGGGATGCTGTGGTCCATAGAATCCCACGTCGCTACGAGAACCTACCAAAGACCATTTTTAAATTTCATAATCAAAACAGAAACGCAAATGATTTTCTTACCAAGCGAACTCGCATAGAAACATACGCAATGCGTATACGCATGATCGAAGCAAAAGGTCCTAGCATGGCGGCCCTTTGATGTCGTATGTTTACTTTATGGCCGCGGCGTGATTGTGACAGCGTCGAGGCGGATCGGGCCCCGTGACGTCATAAATGAGCTAGACTCTGCGAGGCGGACCCATCCCCTACTACCCCTCTTACCTACGAAAGGGTACGTGCGGTAGAGAGAGAGAGCGAGAGAGAGAGAGAGAGAGGCTCCAGAGAAACAAGTCGAGGTTTACGAGCCGCGGCCTTCTACGGGCCGCAGCTTTAACATTGGCCGTGTGTCACGCGTTGTTACTGCCGCGACGCCGTTATGAGACGTTTACGATAAGATATGTCGCACCTTCCGGCCCTGACAGCCCGCAGATTTACCGCTCGCCTGGAATAGCCCCGAGGTCTCCAAGGCGCTGATCGTGAGCTTCACCGAAGACAGTAAATTTAATGGCGTCGACCTGCGCGCCTAGTTCAAACGTATAGTTACCCATCTCGCACTGCGACTCCAAATGTTCCACTTTACGGTTGAGCCTACATCAAGGCCTATCCGCGAACCTGTCGCCCGGCATTTAAATGCAGGATCGTTCGCGGCCTTTAAAACGCACTTGGGATTCACGATCGTATCTGTGCGCATCAGGCTTTACGCGCTACGCGGATAGGCATTAATCTAACTGCGAAATAGTCGAGGTATAGGTAACGCAATAGGATCCGGTTGCTACGTAAAGCTTTTCCAACGGGACATAAAAACGCTATTGTAGCGTTTCCTTCGAAGCGCGGCTCGTTGTTCCCAGTGCCTGCAGGGGAGGTTCGGTTTTATTGTTCGCCAATGAAATTGGTTTATATCATTTCCTCCCAGGATTTCAAGTGGATTCTTCGCGATAAAGATTGGATGCTGTAATTTCCCGCGATACACGTGTAAGATGGTGAAATTTTAAAATACAGTCAATAAACCAAAGGGCTGGTATTTTGTGCAAGGGACACGCGTCCGGATTGCGTGACCCACCCTACGAAAAATTATATTGCCGTCCGTACTCCTCTCCTCGGTAAGTGCAGATACACGCATCCTACGTCCTGGACCAACTTGGAGACTTCCGTTACGCCTCTCGCGCCTATCCTCAATGGAAAAACTGGATGGAGTTTTATGATCGTACTAATTGTGGATATATTGTAGGACCCGGGGGCGATTTATTATTGTTTAAAATTAATTTCGTATAGTCTAGGGGTCTAGACGCAATGTGGTTTATTTCTCTCTTCTATTTTCGTGCCTCTTTACGAGCTTCCAGACGCAAAGTAACGTTCCTGGGGTATCTTTCCAGGAACATCTATGTGGCTGATCTACGAGCGGAGACCAGATCGCGATTATTCCCACGATCTTTCCCACGAGTACCGCTCGTGCATATATATGTATATATATATATATATATATTAGGAACACCTATTTTCGCCCTCCTAACGAAACTCAAGGGTGGTCCCAGTTGCGATCTGCAGGATGAATCTTCAGAGCACAAGAGGCTGGACTTCTGTACCATGGCTGAACTGGTCGACCGGCCGACTGGCTGATTGACTGACTGGCTGGCTCTACCGATATGGCCAGCAATCGGATTGGTGTTGCTTGTTTAGGACCACGCGTGTGTAGCTTCGGGCTTCCGAATGGTGGCGTCCCGTGATTGCTCCCTCGAAACGCTAATGGGCAACGCACACAGATTGGGGGGACACTTAGCGTAGTTAGCAGCCGCAGCTACTTTATTTACGCCAGCGATTGCCAGTCAGGGATGGCCTATGCACACAGTAGCACCCGGCGCTAACTGACAGCGCAAATAGCAACCGTATGTTTGAGGATGGTCCAGCCGTTGATGCTGGCTCCTTGTAATTCTGGGCGGTGCTAAACCAACGGGATGACAACGGCGCCGCGACGCGATAATTCCCCTTTTACCTCCGATCAGACAAAATTCTTGGAATAATATAAATTTCTTTTCAAGCTCATTCGCCACCGGCGGAAATCAACGACGCGGGACGTCGCGACGCCCGCCGGTACCCCAAAGATACTTTCGCTATATGTGAATAATGATAATTTTTTCTAGGCTGATTATTATTATTATTTATTAAAATCCGAGTATCACTATATACGCGTATTATTTATTAATCTATAAAAATAAAAAAAAAATATATATATATATATAATTAATCTCTCAAAAACCAAAATCAAAGCTCTCTCGTATCGTTCGATTTCGATGATTTATGATTAACCCCCCTGGACGTCCGTGAGGATTGATCGATCGCGGCCTATTTCCCACTGCTAAAAGATTAAAGTGATTGCGCGGAAATGTTAATAAGAAATTTTATGATAATAATTTTCTCGGGTAATTTCCAAGCGAATGAGCGCAGCCAACCATCACTCATCGTCGGCATTAAATACGTTTCAAAGAAGCGATTAGTCAAAAAGGCCTCGACGGGGTCGCCGCTCTTGGAAAAGTGGGCCACTTTTCTAATATATAGCATCAATGCGATTACCAGAACCCACGTATATACCGGGTGACACCTTTAAACCAACTTAACCGTGATCGCTAATTGAAACCAAGAATTCACGCGAACCACCAATTAATATTGATCCCATCTATGCTCGGACTATGAAAAAAAAAAGACTTAAATACCAAACTAATTAATCATACGTTACCACCCGCTTTAATGTATCATAGAAATTTCGTCCGGTACCACCCGGTATAGTATGCCAATGACGAGGCATCTTTCGCACTTCCATAGTCCACTGCGTTGCGTAATAAGCTGATACAAAGGATCGCAGCCTTAGACCCAACTGTAGTTATCGAACCCGTTGTCTTTCCTGTAATCACACGGCTGGTACTTTGTTCCAGACTACAATGAGGTACGTTATGACGTAATAAGGATAGGAAAAATAAAATATCTATCTTACCATGACAATTCCTCTTTATTAAGCGGACGGCTTTCCTTATCGTAACAGGGAAGCATTGGGAGGCGAGGAAAGGATGAACAAAGGTTTAATCTCACGTGTGTAACGTAAGCAAGCGTGAATGTGACACGTGTTGAAAATTGCTGGTTAAGAGGATTATTATGTAACTGTCGAAGAAAGCCGGATACAGCAGCTGCGTGGAATTGCGGGGAAGACAGAGAAAATACACTAAGGACTTTCACCCCTTGTATCCGCAGCATCCCCTACTGATAGGCTACAAGACTATTTCATTTTCTTAACAGTCAATAAGTATTTTCCCCATATGTACGATATATATATATATATAGCTTTGAAGATACTTATCTCTATTTATAAAAGTGACGACAGATAAGACGCAGTCGTCTGTCGATTGCGTCATTAGGAAAGCAAGTCGAAATTTTAACGCGAACGCGGAATACTGTAATCCATGGTAGAAGTCCTTGATAAACGGCCGCGATAAACGTCTCCGCGCTCGATTAGTCATTCCGAATTAAAGTATTAACTCGACGCTTGGATTACGGGGTAGTAACGTTAATCCGCCATTGTCAAATCCTCCCCATATACACTTCGGTTTTGAAGTGCTTCAGAATTACAGAACTGAGCCAATAAATTCAGTCGTGAATATAATGGGCTCCTTTATGCCGTGCACAAAGCTAACTTCTGCTTCTTTTTTGGCCACCCTATATATATACGCACCCCAAGTCACGCCCATCCCTATATGGGTTCACCACTCAAATATTTCACATTGACACTTTAGACATTAACTCCATTCGTCAGGGTTTCGCCACTCAGTGACCTTAGCATCCCTATTGGATATATCTATAGTGTGTAGTAAATTGGTACCCAGTGCTACCAACTGTACGCATTCTTCGCGTTCTCTGTGTACTCTCCTTTCGGCTTTTCTATCCGACCTGGCATATGGCAGCTGCTTCCTTCGCTCATTATACACGGACGGGCACTCTCTTTTTGTTAACAGGAGTTTGCTGTTTGGACAGCCTTCCTTTCCGGATATCCACTGCAAATCTCTTTCCCTAAATATACCGCAGGTGCGTTCTCTCTCGGAC